AAGCTAAGGCTTGATACAACCGGCCCGTGGTTTCCAACTGCATGGCCTGGTTACATGGATGCTCTCGGTTACTTATAGAGGCCGTTAATTTAATAAATCCCATAGTTTTCATCATAAAGCAAAGATCAGAAAGAAACTTGTTTGTCTATGAAGCAAAGCTAAAACTGATGGCTTGGGTTATTAGAGAAATTTGCTCAGCAAACACGACGTGACGCCCAGGACTGTGTCTAGGACGTCACAAAATGGCGTAATACGTCCATCTATATGGCTATGATTACGCCATATCAATGCGCTATCTTCAAGGCATCCTGGGCGTCATATCGTGTTTGCTAAATTTCGCTATTTAGAGATGTAAGAAAACGTCAACACGATGGTCGCCATGGTTGGCTTTTTATCGTAATTACATGTCGTGAATAAATCATTTTCATCGATGAGAAATATTTCGGATGTAAATTTGTCTTTATTTCCTGTATTAATTCAAATCAGTCACTGTTGACGGCATACACGTAGAAAAATCAATTATACAACAGCCACCTTAACATGTTCTCGACAATTACGATGCCTGTTTACACTTGCCAAGATTTTAGGTGCAATTTTCTTCTTCTCATGGATGGGAACAAGTGAATAAGTTATATATGCATGCTTAGAAAAGGGCTCGTCAGTGAACTCAAAAAAGACTGAAACGATAACCCATAACGCCACCATTTTGAAGCCAATTGAAGGCTTTCACAATCTCGCGATTTACTCTGGCAACGAAGGCTCTGGGATAATCCAAACTACTGTATTGAACGAACAATCACAATCGTTTCTGATTTCGATTATCCCAGAGCCTAACATCTGGAAAAATTGCCCGCGCTGACCAATATAATCGCTGCATGGCACTTGAACAAAAAGTTCATATCTCCGCAAAAAATTGAATAAAAGATATGTAATGAACGCGCCAAAGCAAATGCTTTCAGCCATCTTTAAAAATAAACCTTCCTCTTATTAATTAGGGATATAATTTAGTTAGCCAAACTCAGGTGTCAATCAATTTATACGTCATAGGTTATCAAATATGTAGGGTGGTGCACGAGTGTCTAGAGGGAGAGTCGTGATAGTGAGAGGGTCATTTATCTGTGATCCGAATAAAGAGAAAAAACTAACGGAGTGTGTTGGCTTAAACATAGTCTCTAACGGCAATCCTCGACACAAGTGGCACCTCCGCAACGGGATAATTATACTGTGAGAAATGGAAGAGTTCGAGAAACAACTCGACGCGAAACGCAAACTGATCGAAGCAACACGTGTAACGAAAGATTGAAAATCGAAACACAGCAAGCATTGAGCGACAGAAAACCACTTTAACCAAGAACGTGAATGAAATATACGAGCTAAAAGTGGAGGTACAAAGAAGTACGAAGAACAAAGGGAGATGATCAAACAGAGATTAAAACCTGGACGGACGCCATTGACAACGAGACTTGGGACAATACGATCGCGAACGCCCTTAAAACAACGAAGGCATGAGAGCAAGAGGAAAACCAACATGAAAAACGACGTGAACAAGAGACCCCAGCGGAAGAACGGAACGACCGGCTTAGTGTAGTCCCTGACTGCAGGCTAGGCTTTTTAAGCACTAGAACTAGAACAAGAACTAGAACAAGAACTAGAACTAAAACTAGAGCTAGAACTAGAACGGACGATGATGGAACAACAGATGCAACACGAACAGAAAATCAAAGCGTTACGAAAGGAAAACGAGGCTACCTAAGCTTGAAATAACGAAAGTCAACGGGACGCCTATATATTGGTTTCACTTCTGGAATCAATTCGAAGCAGATATTGATAAAACCGAAGTTGCGCCGGTAAAGAAGTTTTCTTATACCTAAAGGAACTTGTATAGACCCCAAAGTGAGATCATCGATTGACGGATTGCCATTTTCGACCGAAGGATATGAACGCGCGAAGAAATCCTTAAAACAAAGTATGGAGACACGAGCGAGATTGTGAAGGCGTACAAAGAGCCAATACCGGTAAGATCCACGCCTTTTAAGTAAATTGTTGTTTAACGTACAGTCTTTAGAAACATTGGGAAAACTTAAAGAAGTAAACGCGTATGTACAAAACATCATGCATCTGCCAACCATACAAGGAGCCAATACCTGTAAGACTCACGCCTCTTACAGTAAATTGTTGTTTAACGTACAGTCTTTAGAAACATTGGGAAAACTTAAAGAAGTAAACGCGAATGTACAAAACATCATGCATCTGCCAACCATACAAGGAGCCAATACCGGTAAGACTCACGCCTTTTACAGTAAATTGTTGTTTAACGTACAGTCTTTAGAAAAATTGTGAAAACTTAAAGAAGTAAACGCGAATGTACAAAACATCATGCATCTGCCAACCATACAAGGAGCCAATACCTGTAAGACTCGCGCCTTTTACAGTAAATTATTGTTTAACGTACAGTCTTTAGAAACATTGGGAAAACTTAAAGAAGTAAACGGGTATGTGCGCATGTGTCTAGATAGTGGGATTTTATTAATCTAGTTGACGCTCTTAGGGAATGGATGGAGCGAAATCCTGCCAAAAGCAACGAAAGACCATCATACTAGGCAAAACCAAACGCATTAGATGCGCACCAAGGCGAGTGAAAACAGGGACGGTGCGTCTATTGTAGTGAGAAAAGCCCCACGAACAGAGGGATACTGAACATTGTAATTCAGAAACCGGACGTGTTCGATCGATTATTGGAAAAGTGTAGCTTTTGGAAAACCCTGAGAATATGTGTATGGATCTCACGATTCATGCCTAACGCTGGGAAAGTGAAGAAAAGCAAACATGGTCCCTTGTCAACTGGAGATGCAAAAGAACAAGAGATTTGGTGGATAGCAAGGGTATAGCAAAGGAACCAGCATTTACCCGAATTCAAAGAAGATTCAACCGCGCGAGACTCAACCTTAACTCGAACGGAAATAAGATTCTCGAATGCCACGGTCGCATACAAGGAGACTATCCCACCTACCTACCAGACAACGACCCGTACACGGAGAAACTAGTACAGCACTCCCAAAAGGAGACCCTCCACGGGGGAGTGGGGCTGAAGATGACGAAAGTGCAAGGGGGATACTGGATTACACGGCTGAGAAGACTCTCCAGACGCGTCATTAAGAAGTGCTTCGGTTGCAAACGATTACATACGATTTCCTTCCCAAACCCACAACCCGGGAAATTACCCAAAGATCGAACCGAGGGAGCATTTTCTCTTCAAGTCGTGCGGGTCGAGTACGCAGGACCTATATGGTACCGTAAACGAGGCAAGAAAGTGAGCAAAGCATACATCACCATATATGCTTGTTCATTGAGTTGCGCGTTGTACCTCGAGCTGACGACGTCCATGAGTACCAAGGAATACCTATAGCAACACTTAAACGATTCATTGCAAGAAAAGGACGGCCAGCGAAGGTCTCCGCGGACAACGCGAAGCCGTTCGTTACCGGAGCAAAGTGCTTAAGACGCATGACGAAAAGTTTAACGATTTCCTGGCAAAGATGTCAAACAAGTGGCAATTCAACTTGAGCCGAGCACCCTGGTGGGGTGGGCACTATGAGAGGTTGATTGGACACGTAAATCAAGCTTTGTGTAAGTCAATTGGCAACGGATATTTATCCTGGTCGGAACCGGAACAATTATTCTGGACATAGGGTCACTTGACCCTAAATAACCGGCCGCTGAGCTACGTTGAAGATGATGTCCAATGACCAATATTAACAACAAACGCGTTGCAAATTCGGCCAACCGAATATTCTACCAGAACAACAAGAGGATCGGATCGGAAACTCAGATCTCCGAAGCGAGCGAGGTACCTTCGGCGATGCAAAGACGTTCTTTGGAAGAGATGGTCTTGTGAATACTTGAAAGCCCTGCGTGAACGACATAACATGAAACATGGCGGCAAAGTCCTCCGGTTAAAAGTCGGTGACGTAGTTATCGTGAAAGGCGAGGAAAGAAATCGAGGCAAGTGGAGAGTTGGAATGGTCGACAGACTAATAGTTGGGGAAGACGGCATCGCTCGAAAGGGGAAAGTACGAGCGGGCCAGAGCACATTAGAACGCGCAGTTCAACATCTGTACCCGATGGAGTTGTCCCGTGACGTGGCTGCGAAGACTACAAAGTCAGGATCAAAACCAGCGAAACTCAGAGCAGATGTTCCTGACCACGACGGAACGCAGCCGCGATAGCAGAATCTCGTATTCAAGACATGGCGGATAATGATCAAAACAAGGCTAACTTTAAATATACAATTTGTTAAGTATAGCGAACAATTTATATAGTAATTCCTAAATGTTTATTCAAAGTTTATAATTCGATCATTTACGTTAAATTAGCTATAATCAGGGTTATCATGGACGGTGAACGAAAACAATCCATATATATTCATTTCGCTGAAATGGAATAGGGTGAGTGTGTTGAGAACTATGGGGATATTATTAATTAAGGATAAAATTTAGTTAGACAAAATAAGTGTCAATCAATTTATACGTCACAGGTTATCAAATATGTAGGGTGGTGCATGAATATCTAGAGGAAGAATCGTGTAAGTCGTGATAGTGAGATTTATCAGAGAAAAACGTGAACGTGTTGGCTTAAACATAGCTCTTTAACGGCAATTCTCAACAGTAATACAGCCACAGCGCTTAAAGAATAGACCAATCGTCACGTCGGAGACCCTATACCAAAAACCACTAAAAAAACGCGACAAGATAAAGCTCAACAAGCGATGTTTGCAAACAGTCGCTAGTATGCGTCAATACAGAAGTGTTCTGTCACGTAAAAATCTGGTCGCTTGCTTTTGCATCGTTCCGACGTCCCCGCCGAAGACCTACATGGTTCTTCTCAAAAAATCCCTAAATGTATATTATTTTAGTTAGAGAGATATTTACAAAGCAACTAGCAGTATAGGGAAGATGTATGTTCCAGGCGGACGCCGTAATACACGTCAATGCCCATGCAGCTTAAATCACATCGCTCTGCAATTGACACTGACTTTCTCTTGTAACATTAGAGAGCGCAGGCATTTCCTCTGCAGTTTCGCTGTTGATTCGTGATAATCGTTGTCTGAACCTTGTTCTGTATTTCTTCATGCCAAAGAAATATATCAAGGGATCAAAACACGAATTCAAGAAGGTGAATGCATTTAACCAACGCCAGGTGACATGTTTTTCATCATTCGATATACTTTTATCAGCAGTTGAAACGACTCGATACACAGCATAAGGAAGAAAAACCGCGTAGAAAAAACAGACGATGAGGAATGTTGTACGGATTGTTCTTTTCATGGAATAGTGTTGATTTGAAGTTGTACTTGTGAAAGAACCAAACCGTCTTGCCATCTCCCTTGCTTGGACTCTTGCGGTCCGGAGTATAACAGCGTAGATGATAGAGAGTATGATCAACTGTGAAAATGACAAGGCACAAAGCAAGAGTTCGTATTCTTTATGAATATCGATTTCATAACTCACGGCATGACCGACTCCAAGCAAAATGGCTGTCAACCACGAAACAACAACAGCAATCCATAACACATTCGACGTAATCAATACTCTATACCTTAATGGCCAAACCACTGCAATGAATCTATCAAATCCAATCAGCAATATCGCATTACCGGTCGAGAATATACACACGACAAACAGCGAGGTGTAGATTTTAAAATTCCCCGTCGTAGTCCTGAGAAAAAGAAGGTAAGATCTCCACGGTACATACGTTACGAGAGCAAAAAAATCCGCTATACATAAATTTAGGATAAGTTTATCAGCTGTTTCGCTTAGAGATCTTCTTGACAGAAGAAAATACAAAAGTACTAACGTATTTGTAATACAGCCGACAACACTTTGACTGGCGGTAAACACACCAAGGAATGTTGCGACATTTGAACTCAGTAGCTTCGCCATTACCAAATATTCAATTTTTCTTAACCGTTTTACATCACAACATCTCTTCACTGAAATGACCGAATTCGTCTGTGTCGATTGTTTAAACAGCGGTTTCTCAACATCCAGTTAACTCCGAATTAATGAGTTTTTAAGAAGCGAATGTAGCTTTTTATTGCAGATGAATTGATACGTCTTTAATTATGTATATTTGACCCTCGACCGATGACAAATATAGCTACATGACAAATATATTATACCAGCCGAGTAATAATTAATCAAAGTTATTTCGCTTATTTTTGAATGATCATTCTGAAACCAAAAGTAATAAAATTCTTTCTTTCAGGCAGCCGATTTCCAAGGACACGCGGGGCAGTTGTGTACATATAAATGTACACGTTTATACAGCTATATCAATCAATCAATTGTGACTGATGTCCAAAGAGCAGATGTTAAAGTCTTGCGGACATGCATTTTTTTTATCTGACAAAAAATTAAGACAAAAACTGTGACGAAAGTGACAAGATTAAAAGATTAGTAAAGAGGAACAGCGCAGTGCCAAACAACATCTTGTGGAAAATTAATTGGCAATCCCAATTCGTGCATCCATTTTAATTCCAAAGCAAAGGCAAAAGGTAAACCAAAGGCTTTGGCAAAGCAAAAACGTAATGTCACAGGGTCAGGTGTACGACGCATGCAAGTCATTTGTATAATATACGTTTATAGCTGATTGCGGTGACGAAATCCTCGCGCATGCCCGTTTGATCCCAGAATACAAGGCATGCCCACCTCCTTCACCCCCTTCCCAAGGGTATAATGCCGATACGGGCATTTAGCTCAACGGTAATATACAATGAATTGCCCAAGAAATTGAAGGCGAAAATTAAGTCGAAAATTGATTAGTCCGTGAAAATACTGTTACAAGATGAAGAAAATGAATTGCTCAAAATTTGTCAGAAAATGAATTGGTAAGATAATGAATTGCTCAAAATTTGTCGGAACGCTTTTATTTCCGCAGGCCACAGTGATATCACTGATCAATATGGGATTAATTGTCTTACAACTACAAGGGCCTTATCATAGGCTGTGTGTAGGAGGTCTAAGTATAAAACAAATAATGTCTTTTTCTCTTCCCATTGCCAAATGTGTCAGGAAAAAGTGATGCAAGTGCAGAAGTTAGGAAATGAAGTAATAAAGAGAGTCTTCAAATAACTCTCATAGTCAAATTGGATTAAGCTACACTCTAAAAACATCCTGGTTAAAATTTCCTGGTTGATGTGGAAATAACCCTATTTGGGTTAAACTCGGTAATCCTGGTTGAAATTCCTGGTTATTTCATGTTTTTAAACCAGGAATACTTGTAACCCGTTTCCTGGTTAATTTGTTTTAACCAGGAGACTTTAAAGGAAGAATACCTTCATCAAAAACAAAAAAAAATGGCGTCGCATTTTTGGCGATTTTTGTTTTTTCAACTGGCTGTAGTATGTCTGTTTTGGCACGAACAAGATAAAAAGACAATCGGAGTCGTATAAAGCGAAGCGAACGATACTACTTTGTTTGGGTAAGAGATTTTTATGGTCAATAATGACGTTGTTTGTCCGATAAATGAAGTGAGTGGAGTGCAGGTTTTAATACACTCAGGGTGAAGTGGCGAAGCTATAGCCCGACAATTTTGCCACGCTATGCATATGAGAAAATTTGTGTTCATATAAATGTCAGACAATTTACCTTGATAACAGAGTATTGGTGCTTACTGGTCCTTCTTATTTTAGTCTGACCATATAATTTGAATGTTACATCGTATGTAAATTATTCAACATAACTGCATGGGTAAATACATTGTTATTATTTGATTCAACCTGTTAGGTTTTACATACATAATAAAAAAAATAAAATTATGATTATGATCATCCCCTTCATTCTGTTTTGTAGACATTCCAATTAGGAAATCTTGTGTTCTAGTATATGCTGAGTGAGTAGTGCAGCTATAGGTTAACAATGGAACTATCACTGTCTAGCAAAGCCCTTAACACAGGTTGACGGTGTGAGATAAGATTCATACTTTGCATCAATTGTAGACGAGAACTTGCCTTTTTATATTTACTAAGCATTAATTACAACAATTAAGAAATATTTCCCGCCTTGAAATAGATTTCCTAACTGCTCCTGTTCCTTGTTATTTTTCACAGTCACTAAATGATTTGAATAAAAGACCTCTTACCCAGTTTAAAGAGTGCTGAATTTTCTGTATTTTAAAATTTACATGCCCCCCTTTGTCATCCCCCCCTATATGGTCTTGCCTTAGACTTGTGGAAATGACTCTTCCCATAACAATAGGCAGGGCTTAGCTGGGCTGCTTCATAGGGGCAGGGGAAGGGGAGTATAGTCATATTCATGTTTATCTACCACAGGAACAATAGCCTACAAAATAAATCAGTCTCCATAAGATGAATGTTTGAATTAATATACACATGTACCCCAATAAAGCTTCTAGCTACAGCCCAGACAATTTGTAGGTTACTTGATTTAAAATGGCTGAAATTTAGCATGTTTCTTATTTTCTGAGCATAAACTCTAACTTATGTTCATTTAGAACAAAAGCAAAATCAAAATAGTGTTAAATATTCTGACTGTTATTGATATTTCAAGACATTGAGTACTTTAAAATGCAAACAAAGCATTTATTTAAGTTAGGGACTGTACCATACCTTTAAAATATCCCTAAAAATTATAAAGCCCCACCCCTTAATTCTTCCCATTTGGATATATCCAGACCTTCTAAATGTAAACAAAAAATTAACTGATTAACACTACTTTGGTTCACTATAGATTTAAATGAATATGAGTTAGCGTTTATGTTCATAAAAATTAGAAGCATACTAAATTTCAGCAATTTTAAAATGAGTAGCCTACCCATTGTTATGAGTGGAACCGATGCACAGAACTTTTATATATCCCTCTAAAGCCGGGCCGCACACGACACAATTTTCGTCGTACGATTTTAGTCAGTCGACTAAATCCTTGCATGTGCGATGTCGTTTTTTATCGATTTTTAATATCTGGCGATTAAAATCATACCTTTACATTCGATATAATATCGAGCGTTCTTTACGTATACTAGTACACATATATAGTATTTTAGGTTCATTTTGTTTGACTGTGCCAAACCAAATTAAAACAGATTAAATGACGTAATGGGTAAATGCCGTAGTGGAGGAAATTTTCTTCGGGTATACGTTCCTACCCCGTAAGTACAAGCCAATGAAAACCGAGGAGTTTATACGAATAAGCTCCCAACCTGACTTTTCGCGCTCTTTTGTGTTTTTTTTTCATTTAAGTTTTTCGTTCAAACGAACTATCGAAGTATTCCGCAAAAAATACGCCATAAAAATAGTTATATGGATAGATTTGTATCGGAGAAACTCAAGGAATGGAACCTTCTTTGCTTGCAAGAAATATTTGAAGGTAGGATCAATACAAACTTGCGGTTTTTGCATTTATTTTCCACTTGTAAATATGTTTTCAGACAGAAGACATGACTATATATGTGGCTTTTAACATTTGAAATATTCGAAAAATTGTTGAAAATATTTGATAGTTGTGTATAATTAATGCTCCACGCCTCTACCAAGGCACTTTTCAAGACAGACGACAACTTATGGTTGCATTTTAAAGATATTTGAAGGCCATTTTAATACGCCACGCACTTACTGCAAGATTTGCTTCGCACTTTTTACTCTCTTCTTTGACTATACATGTATTTGTATTTGACAAAAAAAGGAAGCTTGTTGCTTTTGAATTGTTATTACTATATTTTTGCTGAATATTTAAAACAATGTTGTTTTTATGCAATGTCAATGCTCTGTCAATGCTTGAATATGAAAATATTTTTTTTATTTGACATTATGATTTTAAATATCTGTGAATCAACTGCAAATATTCTTTCAATAGATTGAGCCCAATATTTTCTAAAGTGCTTTAATTCTAGGTTCTTTCTTAAGTTGGGGGCCCTTCAGGTTCGGGGCCTGGACAAAATGCTCCCCTCTCCGTGGCCGTATGGTGTTGGCAGGCACTGTACAATATTAGAAAAGATTACAAAAATAATAATAGGAGGAAATTGCACACTTCTATTATATATGCATGAAAAATACCAATAATTTTGCACTTCTCATTTAATGAAGTTATTTTCCATTATTATAGAGATATGATTGACAAAGAAGCTTTGGAACTCTTAGATGAAGCATCTGTAAAGGAAATGGTTGTAGCTATTGGGCCTAGACAAAAGCTGCTAAAATGTTGGTGAAAGAAAAGGTATACAATAAAGCATTGTTTTCTTGTCGATGAACAATGGGCTACATTTGCTCTAGGTGTGATAAAGTAGTGCATGGAGATGGAAATCGTCTTATTTGGCATATCAGGAATCGACATGCTTTAATGTCAGGCCGTATGTTCACCTGCCCAATTACGTGTGGGCAAGATGGATGCATGCAAACATTTCGGTTTTCTGTTGCTTTAAAACGTCACATCGAAAATAAACACAAAAATATCGATCCTAATTGTGATGATCGCGAGAACAATGGCGATTATGAAAACAATGATGATAGTGATGAAAATCCTCCCAATAATGGGCCCTTTGATGACATTCCTCCTCTCAATATTGATAACATGAGATCTCAGATTCTTAGTCGAGTCGAAGTCACTGAACTGGCGGCATCTACAATTGCTAAGTTGAAGTCGTCAAGCAGTGTTGTCCAATCAACAGTAGATAATGTTGTTAGTGAGAGCTCAGACATGTTTTCGCAGATGATCGAGTCATTAAAGAACAAAACTGAACAACTATTAGATAATAAAGGTATAGCTAATGAAGATCCCGAAAGACAAGATCTTATACAAATGTTCCACGATTTCCAACATCCTTTTGAACAGTTAGGTACTGTCTATCAACAGCAGAAGTATTTTAGTCAGACCGGTCATTTTATAAAACCCCAAGAGGTACCTTTTGCCATTGCTTATTATCCACGCAGCAACCCAAACACTGGCCATGTTGATCAAGTGGCAAGACACGTCACATTTCAGTACATTCCTCTCAAGAAACTTCTCAAGAACATTTTGGAAAGTAAAGGGTTCATGAGAGCTGAGTAGGTAGCCCCCCCCATCCAGCGAGGAAAACACGCAACGCGTGGACCCCACGCGGGATGTCGGAAACTGTCGGATTTTCCCGAAGAGGTGCGTGGTCTCCACGCGCGAGTAGAATAGTGCGCGAGGGGCGGGGTAAACAATAAAGCGTAAATACGCATAATAGCGTAAATACGCATATTAGCATAAATACGCAGGATATGTTTGACAGCAGTTTGCTCAAATTACACAAATGCCGGGTTATTTATCACACAGTAAGAATTTGCGAAGAGTATATTTTATTTTACTACTGAGAATTACACATTTGTATGTTCATTTTAAGAGTTCATTTCTTAAATATTCTTTGTATGCTTTGTGATGATTGTTCTCATCACTTGTGAACTGTTCTCCTGTTGTTTTAACCGTGTACTTAAAGATAGGCGGGTTACAAAAAAAAGGCAACGACACCTGACTCTAGTGGATCAGTTTGGTATGAATCTCCTTTCCAATAAGACAGCTGGTTCAATGCACTTTGAACTTTAGGATCTTTTACGTTCATTAAGGACTCGATCAGTATAAAATCTGGATCTTTCGTAAGTTGTTTCCAGTGCTGAGATACATCATCATACCACTTAAGGTCTAAGACTCTTGTTACTTCAACAAACTCACTCCATATCATGCATGTATTGTTAACTTGCTCTATGGCTTCGAAACCATACAACTGCCATGTCTCGTACTCATCTAACATTAAACAGTCTTGATCTCTTACTTTACAACCACAGCAAAGTTTACTGCGCATTCTTTGAACCTCGCGTTCTACAGCATTGGCATACATTACTTCTAGCAAATGGAATACCTTGTTCGAACTTTCCATCGTCAAAGTTTGTGTTCAACTGAATTCAAAGTTTTCTCACAACACAATCTGACTAAGATATGCAAGGTCAGACGTCTGAGGAGACATCTAAGATTGTCATCCGATGATCTTATTGGTTTTCAGTGTTGTCTTAGAGTATAAATTTGGGGCATAAACGCTGGATATCATCATTGCATGTTTACGAGTTTCACTTGGAAGAGCTTGTGTGATATATTTTAAGTCAAGATTAAGCGATGAGGTGCTTACACGGGGAGCCTGCTTCTACTGCGACAACGAAGAACGGTTCGTTTTGGTTCTGTGGTCAAAGTCCTAGTTGTAATTTCTTTTGCACGGAAGACGATGGATATCTATTTGAGAAAGCCATTGCTGCTTGGAGAGTTACGAATCAATCACAGCCGCAATGTGACACACATAAAAAACCCACAAAAATGCGTGTGGTTAAAGATTTAATGAAAGGAAGTTTTGGAAGACCGTTTTTTGTATGCTCTGACAAGAAGGATCCATGTTCCTTTTGGACGTGGGGTGATGTGAAGCCAACAACGAAACCGTCCTGTCATCATGGGCTATCGTGTACATTACAAAAGGTGAAGAAAGAAGGCATCAATAAAGATCGTATGTTCTTTTGCTGCCCCAATGGGAGAAGGACTCGTGTCGATTTTTTGAATGGGTACCCGAAGAACAAATCGTGTTGAAGAACCGTTCATACCATTATATTACCGAGATCTTTATCCTCAGTAGAACTGAAACGTTATATAAAACTTTATAGAGACTTTATTTTTGTTGACATAAATATAATGTTTTACACCCATCTGTATCATTTGTGATTTCGCGCTGCTAATAATGGAGGTCATCTTAGACGAGCTCAAAAGAATAACGTCGACATTAATATGAAAACGTTAACTCATCATATCAATTATTTACTTGTGCAACACAAGTCTACATACCAATCGGCGGTTTTAAATTCTTCTGATTTGGTAGTTATTTTTTATGAAATCAATGTGAGAACTTTGGTCGCGCAATGGCCTACTTAGCATTGGTTTCCTTGATGAAAAACTCCGAGGAGGTCACGCGTGGAGCCGTAAGGCTCGTTGCTACACGACTTCAGAGCCTCGATTTTGAGGAGTTTAAGGTCAAACAGAGCCTTTTCGACCGAATGATTTCTTTTATCAAACACATTTTCTCTCTATAAAACACATGGACATGTATCATGAAATTCATTGTGTGTGTATCCGCGATGGATGTGCGATTTAAAACGCCTGCAAACTTTTATGTTTGTGGACAAAGCCAAAGTGGGAAATCTTATTTGGTTCGAAACATGTTGCATAACTTAGAAGAACTTTTCAATCCAGTTCCAACCAATATAATATACTGCTACGGTATATATCAGCAAGAATTTGAACAGCTGTTGCAAAAGTTTCCTAATCTTACACTAGTAGAGGGGTTTCCGGACAATTTATACGATTTGGTGAAAGGACACGATAACTCTCTTGTCGTACTAGATGATTTGATGTCTCAATGTTCCAACGATCAACGGGTAGCAGATTTATTTACGCGTGGCTCTCATCATCGAGGTATATCCGTTCTCTATCTTACGCAGAACTTGTTCCCACCAGGAAAGTTATCACGGACGATAAGTTTGAATTCCCACTACATGCTAATATTCCGAAACCCACGTGACTCGCTCGGTATTGCAACACTAGCAAAACAGATGTTTCCCAATAACATGAATTATCTTTTGGAGGCATTCCATGATGCTACAAATAAGCCTTATGGTTATCTAATGGTTGATTGTCATCAGTTGACGCCGGAGAATATGCGTCTCAGAACATCTATTCTTCCTGGAGAAAGACAAGTCGTCTACGTGAAACGTACTTAAGTTACGCGCGTTGACCAACGGCTATCAGTATAAACATGTCGAAGCGCATGAAAGAAAGTCTTCCGTATCTTCAAGTTATGGTAAAGTCTAAACCTAAGTTGCGTAAACTGCTTATCGAACATTGTCCTGCAGATGTCATCACAGCTATTTGCGAATGCTCTTTGAATCTACTTAAAGGTATTATTCCACTAACACCAATTCAAAAGCGACGTTTAGTGCGCTACAGGACACATCTCCGTGCGTTGGCAAATAAGAAAGTGTCAAGAAAACGAAAGAAGCAATATATTAATCAAAAAGGTGGGAATTTACTTACAGCTCTTTTGCCACCGGTCCTAAGTGTCCTCGGAAGTTTGTTAGCAAAATGAAGCATGCAAAACGAATGATACTGGTCCCCGAGGACGTGTTTGCTAGATACGAACAAAAGCAAAAAATTGAAACGTCGCCAATTGTAAGAAACATGATTAAGACAGATGGAGAAATGTCAGATATTCTTCAACGCTCTGATATTGATGATGCGCAAAAACAGAAACTATACTATGCCAATCTGGAACGTTTTATGAATCTCAGGCAACAAAAGGATGAGGAGGTCCCAACTGTTAGGCTGGCTACGGAGAAAAATACAGAAAAAGACGACGGGGCAAACGAAATTAACCCCCTGCCCGATTCCGTGATTGTAGATAATATACCCAAAACAATGCGTTTAAGAGCGACAGCATTGTTGAACCGTTTGAAAACGAGACCTGACGTTATTTCTTGGGATAAGACTGGAGAAGTTACCTTGGACGGTAAAAAGGTTCCACGTTCAAACATTTCTGATTTGATCAGCGACGCTATGAGAAGAAGAAAGAATTTTAATCCTAAAGGATCGAAAGAATTTTTTACTGTTTTGTCCAAGATGAACATACCTACAGACATTGTGAGAAATGAGGAAAGGTTAAAACAAATGGATACTCTGTCTGCAGGAGGAGAATCCGTTGTCAGTACACCCAAACGATCAAGCCCATCATCAGCTTATTTTGAAAGACTGTTGAAGAGACATGATACACAGGAGAAAACTCCAAAACAATGGATTAAATATTGAATTTTGTAACTGCATGTTCTAATGAATAAATAAATGGTTATTTTCCAACCCGTTTTAGTTGCTTTTTTTCTCCACACACACACACACGTTGATTTCTTTTTGACAACATTTATTTAAACAACTTTTTACTTTGTTGTTCTACAGCATTTGATTCTTTCAACATTACTTTAAAATTATTTTTAACAAAATGAGATACTTTTTCATCATTTAACAATGTATTTTTACTAAATAACTGAACAATCTTATTCATGCTATGTCCACGTGCCCTATGACTAGATAAATATGCAATATTGGCCACAAACATCCGACCAATTGCTTTGCAGTTTGCGATTGTTAAATTCATAAGAATATCCCTTGAAAATGTT